TTTGGAGTTTAAGCTAAATGAAAATGAATTCAAAGGGGGTTTTAAGGTTTGGAAAAGTTAGTAAATCACTTGCCTTCCTCACATTTGCCTCACTACGACTTTAGGTGAATGGAGCACTTTGTTTTGGTTCACCTAACCTGCTCTCTTTAATGTGTGTTCTGGAACAGCTCCAAGACAGGCTGTAGGGTTAAATTGAGGGCCTGGGAATCTGGGAGAGAAACAGCTGTAGGTGTCAGGTGGCCTGCCACGTTAGAGAGCTGGGGACATCCCCACACAATAAAATGGTAGTTCTGAGAGTTTCCTTTTGAATGTTAAGAAAACGTGGGGGAGTGAGTCTTCCTTGGTTTGGGATGCCAGCCACTTGTTAGGTACCATTGAGTCACAGGGACAGAACAAAGCATTGCCCATTCCTGCGTTGTCCTCAGCTGTTCTTATGTTCAAGCCCATTGTTGGAGCAGCTCCATCAATTCATCTTGTTGGGGGCCTGACCTACTTTACCAAGCATGATTTCCTTCTCTAGAGACTGGTCTCTCCTGACAACATATCCAGAGGACGTGAGACCAAGTCTCACTGTCCTTACCTCTTAGGAGCATTCTGGCTGTCCTTCCAAGACAGATTTGTTTGTCTTTTGGCAGCCCACAGAGCTTTCAGTATTTCTCGCCAGCACCATATTTTAAATGAATCAGTTCTTCTTAGGTCTTCCTTACTCAGTGTCTAGCTTTCACATGCATAGGAGGTAATTGAAAATACCATGACTTGAATCAGGCATACCTTAGTCCTTAAAGTAACCTCTTTGATGTTCAACACTTTAAAGAGGTCTCGTGGAGCATATTTTCCCATTGTACAATGCATCAGTTGATCTTTTGATTGCTGCTTCCATGGAAAAATCCTCAACAGCTTCTATCTTTACTCCAGTTATCATGATGTGACCTATTGGTCTAATTTTAAGGACTTTGGTTTTCTTTACATTTAGGTGTAATCCATACTGAAGGGTGTAATCTTGATCTTCATCAACAAATGTTTCAAATTCTCATTAAGCAAGCAAGGCTGTTATCTACATATCATGGGTTAATAATGCTAACCACCAGAGGGCGACATAGTCCCAGTTCCTGGACAGGTGTAATTCATCCTGTTGGCATGGGGCTACCCTCTGGACCCATTTGCCAATGCGTATCACTACAGAAACTCCTGAAGGGATGAAATCCCAATTTTATTGGGCAGAAAGCATGTTAAGATGCAGATTCTGGAGTCATAGTCCTCTGAGCTTCTGAATTGATAGCTCTGGATGGGGATTCTCATACAGATGTCCTGGACTTTGAGAAAAACTCTTCTTAAAAAGTTTGGGGCATGCATTTTTACCTGTTTGTATCTTTTCTCTTGGGATTGCAAGGCAAAATAATTATATTGAAGGGGAACAAAATGAAAACCTTACTAGCAGAAACTAAGATGCAGGGAAACCAGGGTGTTAGTTTAGAGACCTTCTTCTCCTGCCTTTGTCTTACAGGTTTCAAAGGAGACTCACTTTGCAAAGATTCAGAATGAAGAAGTTACTAAAATCATGTTTTTATTTCAAGTCATAAGTGAGTAAAAAACATACAATCCTTATGCTATAAGCATCTAAGTATTTATTCTGTCCATATAAGGGCCATCTCCCAACATTCCTAATTTTAGCCATCGAGTGCCATGGAGACCCGAGAAGAACAAAATGTCTTCATTGGGAAACAGCTGTAGACACTCTGAGTAGAGTTCTACCATCCTGCCACCTGCCTGAACAAGTCTGGCAACTTCCTTTTTATTTGCAATGTTCCCACTGTAGCAGTGCACCCTACCCTGTTCTTCCAGTAATGATCATTTATTTTTACTAGTACTTCTGGAGCACAGTAGGCCCCTGTAGGGGAAAGTTCTGCCATTGCTTAGAGATGGAAGGAGAAAGGTGGCCAAATCATTCAATCTATGATAAGATGGATGCTATAGCTCGGAAAGTTACAGAACTGTGAATAAAATGAAACTTGGTTCTGAGGTTGGAACTTTGGCCAATGAGATTGCAGATAACATTTTTTCAAATGTACGTGAAAACGATTTATCTTCCAGAGGCCTCTCTTGGGCCTCCCTCGACGCTCAAGAATGCACGCCTCCATCCACCCAGGATGCTGCTGCTGTCTCTGTCTCATAAGAGATTTCCCCTCATCTCTTCCTCTGTCCTTCCTGGGTTTTCAAGGCTCTTCTGTGATTATATGTGAATGTGGAGGAAGTTCTGTAACCTCCCAAACACACAAAACACACATACACTTTAAAATGTATGTAAGAAGTTATTTTTAAGATTAAAGGGCAAAAAAACTAGTGTGTGTCACGTGTTAGTTTACTGAAAAGTGCAGGTGTTTATTCAGTAGTGATGCCATCTTTACCATGAACTAAGTTGTTAATTTGACGTTGCTCCTGCCCTTTATTTTGATGCAGATCTGAATGATCCTGAAGGGGAATCCTCCCAGTACAGGCCCCTCCAAAGAGAGGGAATCACTGGCGGTTCTGTAACAGTGGCAGTTCCGTTACCATCCAGCAATGTCAGATTACCCACTTGGAAAGTCTCTTTATGGTTCTGCTCCGAGGCAGATGATGCAGTGGGACCCTGTGCATTATAATGGTGGAGCCACAGGCCTTTACTGTCAACTCATACTGAGCCTACAGGACAGGGTAGAACTGCCCCTGTGAGTTTCCAGGACTGTAATTATTTACGAGAGTAGAAAGGCCCATCTTTCCGTCTTTCTCCTGAGGAGTGGGTGCTGGTTTCGAACTGCTGACCTTTTGGATCACAGCCCAATGCTTGACCCCCTATGCCACCAGGGCTCAGTTAAGAGTAGGAAATTGAATCCTTACCAAACAAATGGGTTCATGAATAGCCCAGAGTTTCCCATCTTGGATTCGTTACAGGTGTGCCAAGAATGAGCTCCCTCTGCCCTGGGCTGCCTGGAGGCAGTCAAGAGAGGTCTGTACTGATCGGAATCCATTGGTCAGTCATCGCAATCTGATGGATACGGCTTCATCCCTTTTCCTGTTTGTGCTAGTCTGTAACAAAGGTTGGGAAGCACAGGGCAGACTTTGTTCTTAAATGCCTTCTAGTTTCTTTTGTTGTTAATTTTCTGACCAGTTGATCACTGCCCTCTGAAACTCAGTGTGGACCTTCTCTTGATTTTTGTCTGGAGAAAGATCTCATGCAATAGCATTGTTAAGGTCTACTTTGACGGGCACAAGATGAAGTGTGTAGTTCTTTCTAAACTTCCAGGTCAAGGTGGCTTAAAAATAGTTTTGAAAAACACTCAGACCATCATGTATTTTGTCATACAGTTGGGTCACTGCTGATTCCCAAGACAAATGTGTTTAAACAGAAGCTTCCTCATTCATCAGCAGCCTCAGCGAGAACTTAATGGTGATGCAACCCCACAGCGCTGGTGTTGCAGTTCATCACCATGGAAGTGTTTCTGTCAACAAAGCCTTGCTTTGCTATCATGAAATTGATTTTGCAGGGGGAAAGAGCATAATCGTGGAAGATTCCTTTCACTTTCGAAGATCTTCACAAGTTTGCCTGAGTGTCTAAATGAATGGTGCTTACGAATCAATAGCTGACAACAAAACTGACTGTACCAAAGTCACATTTAAAGGGCAGGAAAAGGGAAAATGGCAATGAGCTACTTTTTTTCTGAAATCATCTCTTTGGAATGTGGCTTAGGGACCAGATTGGTAATTTAAAACGTTCCTGAGAGCTGATGTTCTCTGCTCCAGAAGGCTGTGTTATGCTCACGGAGCCCCCGATCTAGGTATGACTTTTTCTATGAGGCTTTTCTGATGTAATGTGTTACATACCTTGTGAATTCGTAATACATCTATTATAGTACAGCAATAGTTGAAGAAGAAATTCATGGTACAGTTTCCCTCAACAACCAACCAACCCCAAACCCTGCTTATACTAGTGTTCCTATCTTTCATTTTTATTTGCTTATTGAAAACCTTAAAAAATCCAGTACAAATAAATCGTAGTATGCTGAATGCAGGGCCACCTCCTGACCAAGGAGGCATTTACATTAAGTAATTCAAACTGTTTTAGGAACCAATTTGGGAGATGGTAAAAGGACGACATTCTTGCTTTCTTAGAGGTCAGAGCTAGTGGCTGATACCAGGTTTGGATGTAGACATACTGAAGCGCTTGATTGTCAAGGGAACTCCTACTTCTCACTGCGTTTTCCCAGGCTGCCTATCACAGCTGCAAACTGTTTAGTTCACTAATAGGTTCTCACATGAAGAACATTATTTAATACCACTTTATCCAGTTATTTTTTAGTGGACATTGACTAAGCACCTGCTATATGTCAAGTTCTGTGCCAGACACCAGGGACATTAAGACATATCCATGTAGGTAGTTAATTTGCTTTTGAGATACTTTGAAATCAGAAGCATGGATTTTGATATATTTGAATCACCTCCTCCTCAAACATATGACAGAAAGTTGACTGTTGGGGGGAAGCAGGGCCTGAGGTTGAGGTTATTGGTGTGTGTGTGTGTGTATGTGTGTGTTGATAGGATTAAGTGACATAAAAAATAAATTCTATGCATGCCAAAATGTAAAACTAAATGGCCCCAAGAAAATCCAGCAAGCAATGGTAAAAACGACAAATTATTTACTGTTTTATAATGTTAAAGTAGTTCACCAAGACAAGTTGCAGTCAAATTAATGTGCGTTATGGAAACAAAATACATAAAGATGTATTTATACAAGTGCAGACTAGACTACATATTTCCATACAGGTATGTAAATGAAAAGATATACAGTAAGTGCACACTTTATGTGACTATACAGGCAACAGTTAGTTTTAGATTCTCTTGGCGAGTTCATGCACAAACCTTCCCAAGATACAAGTTCAGTCAGTCTCTTGGGGGACTGAAGGGATGGTTATGAAAGGACATCAGTCTGGACTGAGTGCGAGTGGTCAGTTATATATATTACTTACTGTCATTTGTGATTGTCGAGGAAGAGGTGTGGCCGTTGGTGTAATAGTGATACTGCTGGTGACTTTACTGGTCAATTTGCTTAGTGCCCCATTAGTTAGGCCTGGAGTTCGGTTATCCTGCGGCAGGACTGAAGGGCTGGCCGGTCTCACGGGGTTGGCCACAGCTTGCACGTAAGGACTTCCTAAGTGAATGTGGATTTTATTATCCTCAGTAGTTATCACACTTGAACTGTTACTGTTTGAACGTTGGAACTGCCATGATGCCTGCCGGGAGTCTGGGGTGACTCTGAAAACTGCGTGCTTGGCACTGATTTCTATTGGCTCTGGGGAGCGCCCCTGCTCAGGAGAGCTAGCCGAACCAGTCACAGCCAAAACCTGAATAGGTGACATTGTCCTTTCTGGGGTTACAGAACCACAGGACTCCGGGGTCTGCGCTCTGGCAAAGGTTGCCGTGGTAATCGGGGGGATGCTCTGCTCTAAGGTGGCAAGGCCTTCTGCAGAGGTTTTGGGTCTCAGCGGTGTTATGGAGGCATTTTGGAGGATGGTTATCCGCTGCTTTGGAGTGCCACAATTCGGTATCACTGCTGTGCTGGTGTAGGAGTGCGGGCTCTCTGGAGTCGGGCTTGTGATTTCAAGAGTAGCCGTGTTTTGGACGTGGTCTGGAGTAACTTTAATGTGAAGCGGCTGCCCAGGCGTATGGCTCAGGACCAGATCTCCAGGCTGCACAAAGTTGCCATTGGGTTTAATTTGTATTTTGCCATTCTGAGGGTGGCTCTCCTTGGCCTTCATCCAGGGAATCCACAGCTTCCTGTTAACAGGACAGGGAGTTGATGAGTTGCATTTGAAGGACAGCACTGGTTCCTCATCGGTAGGATCCTCGTCCTGGTCCTCGCTCTCCTCGTACAACTGACCGTTAATGACTGCTCGTTCCAGAGGAATGAGACTCTTGTAATCAGGTGGTTCATTGTCTACTACTTCTGTCTGGACTTCTTTAGAAAACACTTGAGGGTCAGAGATTCTTCTTCCATTGAGATTAGGCCGGAGGGTCTTACTGTAATGTCGGTACCGCTCTAACTCTTTCGTGAGGTTTTCGATTTCTCGTCCTAAATCCCTGTTCCTGTTCTCTTGTTGATTGAGTTTTTTTTGCAGAATTGAGTGATCTCCCTGGAGGTGACATATGAGGTCTTTGGTTGCCATGCATTCGTGAATTTTCTCTTTCAGTACGTCCACTTCCCTGGAGAGGTGTCCTGACTTCATTTCTTCTTCTTGCAGCCTTTTGAAAAGCCATTGCTCGTGGCTGGACTCTGTCTTTTCTGCTAACTTGTACTTGGCAAGTTCTAGTTTAACGTGTTCCAGCTCTTCAGACAAAAATTGGGCTTTGTCTCGTTCGCTGGCGTACCTTCGTTCTAGGGTCTCGTACTCATCTTCTGTTTTCATGAGGTCATCCTCAATGGCCTTCATGGCCTTCAGCTTCAGTTTCAGTCTTTCTACTTCCTGAGAGAGCTCTTTAATCTTATTGTTTTCCTGGTGTAATATTGTGGGCTTCCCAGAATCTTGTTTGACCTTGTTTTTGAGGGAATCTCTCTCACTGGATTCCAGGGCCTGGAGCCTGTTGGTCAACATGCTAACTGTGGCCAGGAGGTCGTTTCCTTTCTCAGCCTCTGCCTGCAGCTTGTTTTTGAGGTCATCTCTCTCCTTGGTTACGCTGTATATCTTTTCTTCCACATCAGTTTTGGATTTGAGTGCCCGTTTAGTTTCCTCAATTAACTTCTGGGTAACCGTGGTCACTTTACTTTCCTCCACTTGAAGCTGAGACACAGTCACTTGCAACTTGTCTTCCGTTTGCTTGAGTTTCTCACTCATGGTCTTCCGTTCATCTACAAGCATCACAGTTAATGTTTTCAATTTGGTTAAATCCTCTTTGAGGGTGAATTCGGTCTTCTCCAGCCGACTTTCAATGGCTTCGAGCTCTCTGATCCTGACTTTCAAACCCTCCAGTTCTTGAAACAACTGCTTTGTGGTCGTCCTCTCTTTTTCTAAATTGCATTTCAGAGAGTAACATTCATCTTTGCTTTTGTTGAAAGCATCTTCTAATTTTTCCAGAGCCATAATCTTTTTGCTGAGTTTTTCAACCTCTTGTTTAAAGTCTTTACTCTGGGACGTTTCCTTCTCCAGCCTCTTATTGAGCTCTCGGCACTGCTCTTCCATCTTTATGAGCTCTTCGTCCTTCCCCTCCATTTCCAGCACGCGCTTCCGGAGCTCCTCCACTTCGGCCATGGGACCAGAGTTCCCATACTCCCCGGTGCTGATTTTCTCCTTGATGTCTTGCAGCTCTTCTTCCGCTTTTCGTAAAGACCTGTTGGTCTCTTCTAGCTCATCAATTTGCCGGCTGAGTGCTGCCAGCTTCTGTCTGAGCTGACGGTTTTGGCTGTCCTCGTTGGTGAGCTTCGCCATAATTGCTTCTTGTTTCTGGCGAAACTCTGAGGCCTGTGTTTGGAGCTCTTCCTCCCTTCTGGTGGCCTTCTGCGCTTCCTCCTGAGCTTTGGCTTCAGCAAAGGCTAGCTTAGCATGTGTTTGCTGTGCACTTGTGGTCAGCTCTTGGATTTTCTGTCTTTGAAGGGCGAGCTGTACGGTCTGCCTTTGTTGTTCGTCCACCACCATCAAAGCAAAAGATTTCAATTTGGTCAGCTCCGCCTTCAGGGCAGTGACCTTCTTTTCATTTTCCTGGTCCTTCTGTTCTTGGGATCCAGTTTCTTGGACAATCAGCTTCTTTAATCTGGGGGAGAGGGGACCGAAAACAGAGAGCATTCAATTTTGTGATTGGCACTTAAGTAACCTGTCAACTGTGATTAAACATTTAGTGATTTAGAAAGGGTATCTGTGTACACAGAAGATGGAAAGGAATTTTTGAATTTGATGGGGGAGGAAAATCTTGATAAACTGCTATCTCAACTTTTCACGTTTACAGTTGTTGGCTAGTAACCACTCAGTTCATCAGAAGCTGAAATAGAAGGTTAAGGGCAAGAATATTTGGGTCAAATTGCTTGTATAACAGGTAATTATTGGCAGCCTCGGCTAATGGCTATGAAATTGAGAAACAGTTGGGCCTGGCTTTAGAATAGGCCTATTCATACTAACTGTCTAAGATGAGCATTTATCCAACCTCTTGGGCTGCAACTTACTCATATGAAAAATGGGAACAATAATTGCATTTACCTTGGGGGGTACTTAAAAAAAATTAAGTGAGAATTTTGCCTAAGATCCTTCTCACAGTTCTCTGGCAAGCCTCAAGCATTTAATAAATGTTGGTCTTTTTTTTATTATTATTATTGGCATTTAAAAAAAAAATTTTTTTGGCATTCTTAATCAAGTGGTGTGCTTGAATTATTACAATATGTGGTACATTGATGTTTGATATTCAACTTCCTGATTCTTAGTTAAGATAAAAGTTTATTCACATGTCTTAGAAGAATGAATTGGGAATACACCACTAGTAGACTGCTCTGCCAAATTCAACTAGTATGACATTGTCTTAGGAGCCCCCTCTTTAATCCCCAGAGAGAATGGCAGGCACTGTAGGGGATTTGAGAGGCATCTGCAGGGTTGGAGTGCTCATAACTTGGGAGAAGCAAGGGCTCAGCGGGTCTGTTACCAGGATTACAGTGATTCCTTCTTAAATATGACTATAATAACATGCTCTCTTTCTTTTTCATTTTAAGTTTGTTGGCATAACGGGTGGGGGGGGGGCATTTTACATGCATTATAAACACTCCTTGCCACATACTTTTCCCCCACAAGTAAGATCAGACCTTCAAATTTGTGGCCCTCTTAATTACACTGGGAATGGACTGATTGTAGGGAATGGAATTACAGAATGGCATATTGTTATACAGAAGCTAAAATAGAATGGAATGCCCAAAGAATTGAACTGAAAGACTTGTCATGTAAGTAAAACAAACAGTTTCTACTATTTGCACTTTATCTTTTCTATGAAGATGAGTTAATCATCCAATTCATGTCTTTAATCTTTACCACCGACTGAATGGTCATTTTGAAAGTTGTATATTTAAGTTTCAGAGAACATTTCAAAAAGAAACTAACTTGGGACTGTCTTCTTGGAAATAAAAGAGTCCTTATATTTGAAATCCTCATATGTTCTGTTATATGATTACACTACATAAAAGGAACATACTTAAAGTAATTGTAAAAATAATTTTTGAAAATAAAGTAATTGTTTAATGAGAAAATTTCCAGTTTTGTGTGTGTGTGTGTGTGTGTGTGTGTGTGTGTGTGTGTGTGTGAGAGAGAGAGAGAGAGAATGGGGGGGGGCACTACTTTTGTTTTTTTCTGTTTTGAGAGCATGGCAGGAGGCTGGCCTTAAGGGCTACAGGCTGAGGTTCAGAGGGTGCTAGCGTGATAAGGAGTCCTAGTGGCCTAGTGGTCATGAGTTTGGGTGCTAACCCCAAGGGTAGCAATTTGAACCCACCAGCCTCTTCTTGGGAGAAAGATGGGGCTTTCTACTCCCGGCAAGAGTTAATCTTGGAAACTCACAGGGCAGATTCTACTCTGTCTTCTGGGATCACTATGGGTCAACATGGACTGGAAGGCAGTGAGTGAGGGATGGGGGTGATGATCTCATCCAGGATGGCAAGATTCTTGCTCAGGGCTCTGACTGTAAACAGCTCTTGAGAGTGGAGACAGGGCAGCTCCTTCCTGAGTGGGTGTGAGACTTCACAGCCATGTGGTAGGGTCCATGGATAAATTGCTTTCCCGGTGAAGTAGTTAGAAAAACTTTGGCTGAGTGCTTCTTCCTTCTACCTTAGCATTAGAGTCACATTGAATGGTTTTGACAACGTGTCAAGCATAATTTCAGGGAAATATTTTCCCCTCACTATGCCACAGTTCTATAGTTTCGAGACAGTTTCACAAACATTTTCAAGATGTCTTTTCAACTAACTCAACAATATGTGTGACTTCATTTTCATGAGAAGAGGGTATGCTGTTTCAGAATGTAAGGGAGGGAAGGCGGTTTTGCAATATAATGAAAAGGGCATTCTGATGGAATGGTGATTAGTGAATCTAGGCAGCACGGTAAGGGCTAAAGACGGTTTGAGATCTTTTTCAGTTGTTTCAATTATGTTCAATGCTTTCCGCAGTCTCAGTGCAAGCATGATGTGTCTTTTCTTGGCTTCAGCAAATAGGCTGGCATTCTCATCTGCTCTCAAGCCCCATCTTACAATATGGGTTTGAGTAGGCAAATGAAGCTGATAATTTGAGTACATTTGCTTCAGTATTTCTTTATTGCTTGTTTCTTAATAACCTGCCATTTCCCTGGACCTCTCCTATGAGCACAAGACAGTCAGCAGCCTCCGTCAGGTAGTCTTTCAAGGAGGGAAATAGGAGTCTTTACACACACACACACACACACACACACACACACACACTTCAACAAGTTTCAGAAAAATGGAATTTTTCCATGAACTTAATGGAGTCCTCTTGGATTAATTAGGAACATTATTTTCCTTAAAAACAAACAAACAAAAAAAACCCAACTTTTCCTTATGAAAATATGTCATCATGTCTATCTACCACTCTATATGAAGGCTGAATGTTAACTGTATTTTAATCACTTGAGGTCTGCAATCTCTCCTTCAGAACTCTTCAACCGGATGTTTTCAGAATTCCAAGGCTTGTGCAAGTTTAGAAAGGCGGTGAGGAGTATTCCTAACAAGGCCCTGGACTACCACCTTTTAAGCCAACCCTGAACATTTCTGTGAATAGTTACACTGAGTGAGAGAAAAAACCAAACCAACTCTACTCACTGCCTCAAGTCTATGCCCACTCAGAGCGACCCTGTCCCAACATGGCAGAAGAGTCCCTGTGAGCTTCCGAGACCTCTCCTCTCGACAGGAGTAGTGAGCCCCATCTTTCTCCCAAGGAGCAATTGGTGGCTTCCAATGGCTGGCCTTGCGTTTAAGCCACCCAATGGATAACCACTGCACCACACTTCACTGATTCACTTGGTTTTGCTCTCATATCAGTTCATATAAGGAGAGGTTTGGTTGATGCACTTTCTCAAATGAAACCTCACTAATTCCAATATTTTGGGAGAGTTTTGGAATTTCAGGCACAGGATTGTTAAGTGTACAATAAAAATGTACAAACTACTAGAGTCATTGTGTGAGATGGGGTTGGGTTGAGGCTCCCAAGCCTGATTTCTTTTAGTCAGTAGGATTGGGCTTGAGCTTAATCTCCTGTCTGTTAGTTTTCTTTGGATGTTGGGGAAGTGATTTTTAGGACTTTTGATTAGGACACATACAATCTTGGAAGCAGCACAGATAGGAACTCTCCATATCTGAAATTCTTCCCCTCAGAACTGCCTAGCAAAATTATTGCTCCTTTTTTATATGAATAGTTTCAGTTGACACTTTCTCCGGGGTCATTATCTAATCTATGGCAGGGTGTCTCAAGCTCAGCAGGTAATCCTTTGCTGTGGGCCATCTGTATATTGCAGAATGTTCTGCCTTGTCCCTTACCCATTAGGTGCCAGGAGTAACTCCCTTTCCCCAAACTTGACAACCAGCAATGTCTCCTGACACTGACGGATGTCTTCTGGTGGCAGAATTACCTGTGATGAGAATCACTGATCTGTGCATTGGGTATGTGCGGTTGTGAATGGATGCGTGTATTGGAACCTGCTAGTAACTTGGTATGTACCAGGGCTTCTCACAATGTAGTGTGCAGTTGCATCACCGGGGGATCCTGTTAAAATGCAGATTCTGATTCAGTAGTGGCTGCCCTCTTGACTGCCTGTGGGGTGGTGCTCATTAGGGGCCACAGAGTCGACTCTGACTCAGTGACCCACGTGTGACGGAACAGACGCCACCTGGTCTTGAGTCATCTTCACTGTAGTGTGGTTTTATCATTCACATAGCAAATCTTCTCTGAAAATTGGATTTTGGCAGGATATTAACTCAGCCAATTGTTGTATTGGTGTTTATTGATTTTGGCCAGATATGTAAACATAGACTACATTTCTGACGTACCTAGATGTGTTTTCTATTGTTTCTTTTTGTTTTAACAGAGGGCAGGGTGTGGCTAAACGGATCGGAATCTATCTGCAATATGACAGCTAAAATTCTCATCTCAAAAGAGCAGTAAATACATTTAACTTCACTTTGTGGTTTTCCTGAAACTGCCCACAATACAGGAGATATGTAATGGCTGCCATTCTTTGATAAGTGCCAATGCTGTGTTGTCAAGCACAGGTATTTGTACATCTATCAATTGTGATTCTAACTCTTTCTGGTTTATTTGCTCCATTTTAACACCATGAAAATTGAGGCACAGAAAGGTCTAAAAGGGGCAAAGCCTGAGCTGTTCCCCTACACAGATTACCTCTCCAACCAAGACCATCAACCATGCACAAGATTGGCTACATACAAGGTGCCTTGTTCAAAGAACACTCTCTGCATAGAGAAATTATCCACTTCAAGAAAAAGTCTCAGGCATCATTATATTTGCATTCGATCTGATAGTTTATAGTGGTCTTCAAATATTTGCTGAACCTCCTCAAGTAATTTTTAAAAGACAACCGTCATACATTTTGAAGTTGACATCTAGAGTCTTTTTGTTCAAACTTAAAATAGGTGTAAAATATATCTTTTTAATGTATATCTCATAACCTAGGAACCCTAGTGGTGTATGGTGGGTTACCTGTTGGGCTAACCAAAAGGTCGGTGGTTGAAACCCAACAGCAGCTCAGCGGGAGAAAAA